AGAACAACTAGCCAAAGACTCAAAAAGTAACAGCAATTATTTTTTAAGTACATCAAAAGCAGGAAGCCTACTAAAAAACCAGTGGGGTCACTGGACGATTGAGATGTTTAAAGGAGTACTCAAGGAAGATAAGGCCACTGTGGAGAAACTAAATGAATTCTTTGCACCAGTCTTCATGGCTGAGAATATGAGGGAGATTCCCAAACCTGAGTCATTCATGCTAGGGGACAAATGTGAGGAATTGTCCCAGATTGAGGTATCAGAGTAGGTTTTGGAACAAATTGATGAATTAAACAGTAATAAGTCACCAGGAACAGATGGTATTCACCCAAGAGTTATGAAGGAACTCAAAATGTGAAATTGCAGAACTACTAACTGTGGTATGCAATATATCATTTAAATCAGCTTCTGTACCATGACTGGAGGATAGCTAATCTGACACCTATTTTTAAAAAAGGCTCCAGAGGTGATCCCGGCAATTACAGGCCAGTAAGCCTAACTTCAGTACCAGGCAAACTGGTTGAAACTACAGTAAAGAACAGAATTATCAGACACATAGATGAACATGATTTGTGCGGGAAGAATCAACAGGTTTTTTGTAAAGGGAAATCATGCCTCACCAATCTACTAGAATTCTTTGAGGGGGTCAACAAGCATGTGGACAAGTGGGATCCAGTGGATATAGTGTCCTTAGATTTTCAGAAAGCCTTTGACAAGGTCCCTCACCAAAGGCTCTTAAGCCACATAAGCTGTCCTGGGATAAGAGGGAAGGTCCTCTCATGGATCAGTAACTGGTTAAAAGAGAGGAAACAAAGGGTAGGAATAAATGGTCAGTTTTCAGAATGGAGAGAAGTAAATGGTGTCCACCAGGGACCTGTACTGGGAGCAGTGCTGTTCAACATATTCATAAATTATCTGGAAAAATGGGTAAACAGTGAGGTAACAAAATTTGCAGATGATACAAAACTACTCAACACAGTTAAGTCCAAAGCAGATTGCAAAGAGTTACAAAGGGACCTTACAAAACTGGGTGACTGGGCAACAAAATGGCAGATGAAATTCAATGTTGATAAATGTTGATAAATGCACACTGGAAAACATAATCCCAACTATACATATAAAATGATGAGGTCTAAATTAGCTGTTACCACTCAAGAAAGAGATTTTGGAGTCACTGTGGATAGTTCTCTGAAAATATCCACTCAATGTACAGTGGCAGTCAAAAAAGCTAACAGAATGTTGGGAACCATTATGAAAGGGATAGATAAGGAGACAGAAAATATCATATTGCCTCTATATAAATCGATAGTGCGCCCACATCTTGAATACTGCGTGTAGATGTGGTCACCCCATCTCAAAAAAGATATACTGGAACTGGAAAAGGTACAGAAAAGAACAACAAAGATGATTGGGGTATGGAACAGCTTCCATATGAGGAGAGATTAATAAGACTAGGACTTTGCAGCTAGGAAAGAGAAGACTAAGGGGGGATAAGATAAAGGTCTATAAAATCATGACTGGTATGGAGAAAATAAATAAGGAAGTGTTATTTACTCCTTCTCATAACACAATAACTAGGGGTACCAAATGAAATTAATAGGCAGCAGGTTTAAAACAAACAAAAGGAAGTATTTCTTCACACAACGTACAGTCAACCTGTGGAACTCTTTACCAGACTGGAGCCAACCAATATGGGTCTAAGCACCCCTGGTTTAGCCCGGTTTGTAAGTATCTTGATCAAATGCTTTAAAATGTTTTGTTCCTGTTTGGTTGTAGTAAATTACTTATTATGTAGGCTTTTTAAGCATGTTTATGGCAATTATATAAGTACCATTTGGCCTCTGGCTTTAATAACATAATTTATGGTTAATGTTTGGTGGTTTCCCATATGAATAATTTCAAATATTATTAAAAATTCCAACCCTCTAGCTCCTCTGATGCTTTCTGGCCAGTGACAGACAATTTGTAAGCATGTTTTCTCTTCTTCAGTCTAGCTGACAGTTGAAACAAAAGGCCCCTTTAAACTCAATCCTTAAATGCAGCTCTTCTTCCCCAACCTTCTTCATAGCCTTCTACTGTGAATGACTTTCCAACCAGTGTGTGCTTCAACAGTGCCCTCTGATCTAATTGACTGGCTAGACTTATTCACAGCATTTAGATGTGAAGCAGTCCCAGTCTAGGGGGATCAGTTCTACCACAGTATTTGACATGCAGAAGGCAACAAACATTCTGGGCTTTCAATGCCTCTTCCATAACAAGCAGCTTGGGCCTTCCTTGAGTGGTAAAGAACACAAATGGCACTCGAGGGAGTCAGTTTACAGATTGGGGCCACAGCTGCAGGGGAGAGTGATTTAAATCATTGCTTTACATCACTTGATTTTTGTTAATCGATTTAAATCCAGTTGAGGCTTTGTAAACCTAAATTTGATCTGGGCTATTGGGACTTCAACTGACAATGAACCAAATTATAAATGCTGGGGTTTTGGGATTTTTTTTTTTAATTCCAATAATGCAAAGCTCTCGTCTGAATTTTACAAAACCATAAAAAATCGAAATATTGAAAATTAAGGCCTTGAGCCTGAAAACACAAAGTAATAAACTTTACTCATATGAACAGTGCCATTGACTTCAATGAGACTACTCCAGTGCTTAAAGTTAAATATGTGCATAATTATTTGTAACAGAGGCTACAGTTGTATTTTTTGGTACACAGAGGATATTTTTAAAAACAGGAGGCTAAAATTGGATTTCTAAGCCCACATTTAGATAAGTGTGAAATTTTCACAAGCATCCAAGTGATTCAGGTGCACAAGCCCCACTGACTGCTCATCCATCATAATTTGCCGTTTCTATGGTCTGGCTATTTATCAGTCTTGTATATGGGTTCATGTTATTTTCACAGTAAGGATGTTAATGAAGCCTGGGACTTGTATTTTTCAGCCTGAGCATTTTAAGCGTGAAAACTTCTTAGTGGAAAAAAAAATCTATATAAAATCCAAAATTCTTATTTGAAAACTAATTCAAGTAACAAGTGCATACATCCAGTCTAGCACTGGGAAGAATGTAAAGACTTAACATGTAAATAAAAATTCTGATTTAAACTTAAATGGATTTAAATTAAAAAAATAAAAGTAAATCATTACTTTTATCTACCTTACACAGCCGGAGCAGTGTTTGAAGCCCACTTTCCTGCCAGGATCAGCCATGACCATGAACAATACTAATTGATATAATCAGAATAATCAATTGGTAATGAGCAGCTTATTTAATAGAGAAGAACAAATCACAATTAAATGGTTCCTACAAAATGGCCACCAGAACACTCCTTTATAGGACTAAGGGTTCTTTTTAGTTTTAACATCAATTAAAAAAAAAGTAACAAGCCAATTAACTATTAGAAAGGAGAATGAGTTAGAAAGAATTTTAACACAGCTGACTGTGCTGGGAAAGGAAGTGATGGCTGATTCCTTATCTACCCCTGCACTAAAAGTTCAGATCCACCAGGCATTGTGCATGGCCCCACTGAGGACAGCCCTGCCAGAAGTGGAAATCTTCAGAGGGGACTATCAAAGGAGAATGAGACAATCATTAGAAGTAAATGAATTCCTTTTTCCACTTTATATTACTTTTACAAACTGCCCAAAAGGATTAAAATGTCCTCAATAGTAAAGTTTCCTCTTCTGTACAGCACAGACAACTGAAATTAATTACTTAATTTCTAGGTAATTTTAAGGTTTTAATTCCTTCGTAACAAAAAGCTGATCAATCTGTGCTAAACTGGTATTTCAGCCAACTTCATCACAATCCTTATGAAGAGAGCAATAACTGAAATGGCATTTTATGTGTGCATTAAACTCATCACCAGAATGAATTAGTGCTGGATTTGGGACTAGAACTCAGCAGTCCCTATTGCTGCTTAACCACCAAACATCACCACTTTCCACCATGAATTTAATTATGAGGTCTTTTTTTAATTTTTTAATTAAATTTTTTTAAGCTCTGCCATTATAAGTGCTATTCTAAGACGGTGTTTTCCATGGCCTGCTGAAGAGAGCTTCTGAAAATATCTATTAGTATTAACTTAATTTTAGACAACTAGAAGATTATCCATTATTTTTTTCATAAATAATTAAAAGAATATGGTCAACTGAATGAGAAGAGAAACGAGCAAGGGACACAGGAGATACTGCAGCTTGACAACAGAATGATTCACCCACATTACCACAAATTTTAAAAAAGTAACTTACATTAGTTTAATTCTACTAACCTAATCAAAGACGAAAAGGCAATGGAATCAAGGGAGTGACATATTACATTAAAAACATTTTTTGCCCTGTGCCACACCACACACAGGGCAAAAATTTGTTTTAAATGTACTGTGATACTTAACATGAAACAGCGCTATCCAGACAGAGGAAGGAAGCTGTACCCACCCTTGTGTCACACAACTAGCTTTTCTGCACTCAGTCTAAACACAAATGGTAAGATAATGGCAGGATACATGATCTCTGTGTTGAGTGCTCACTTATCCCATCCCTCAGTCTGACCCACATAAAGAGGGTTTGCTTGAACACTAAATAAGATGAAAACTAGATAACTGATATTTTCCAGAAAGTATTTTAACTCCTTTCAATGGTACCAGAAAGTGCATATTCCCTGACAGTTATTTCATATAAAACATCAACTGAAATGGATTGAACATTAGGATGTATTTGATACACTGCACATATTTAAGCAGTTCACTAGGGTTTCATAGATATTTTACTTAATATCCATAACTTTGTTGAGTACACCATTTAATATAAATGATACAGGGAAACGGTTTTTATTCTGCAACTTCCTGCTCTTCAAAGAATGGTGATTTCACATTTATCAGGACTCTTCTTTAACATGGTGTCCTCACTTAAATTGATATATTTCTTCAGTAATCATAAATGAACGTACAATTTCTCCTTTTGGATAGTACTATGCTTTAATTAGTGTTGCATAAATACCGTTACCTTTTTTGGTGAAAAACTCCTTGGAATATTTCCCCAACATAGCGTATTTTCGAGGGATTTTTCCCAGCAGTTCAATGATCAATGCTATGTGATCTGCATTGGAGAACATTGCCAGCAAAACAGAAACATACAACAGTTTAATCAGTACATTGCATGCACACACTAACACTGGCCCGGTACAGACAGAAATAGATTGATCCTGGTCAAAAAATGTAAGAAAACTAATGTGTGTGTGGACAAAACACTTTTAATGGCTAATTTGGAAAGGCACTTCCAGCAAAACTTCTTCATCCAAAATCACTGAAGCGCAGCCTTTAAAGATAAGATTTTACCAATAAAGTGATTTAAAAGATGTCAGCGATTGTTCCCTTTAAATTAGTGCAACTAAAAAAAAGGAGGTCTTCAGAGCTTTTTGTTTTTAATTTGTTAATGTTTATATAGCAGGGATAGATTTTTGTTATATGACTTGAGAAAATGTTCCTTATTGGTATGCGTTACAACCAGCAACTGCTATTCCACTTCTGTCTGCATCACGGCGCCTTTCAAAAAGAAGAGGTACTACCTCTGCGATTGAAGAATTCCCGAGAATATTTTCCAGATAGAGCAAAGTGCCTTGGGATATTGCCTAGCAGCTCTATGATGTGTGCTATGTGGTCTATGAAGGAGAGAAAAAAAGGGCACAGGAGTGGGAAGGGCAGGGAAAGATGGGATAAAAAGAAGAGGAAAGAAACTGGAATTAGTAAAAAATCAGAAATAGTTTCAAATCAACAATGTTTGCAGCAAACCCATGCACAGGTTTCCAGGATCAGCAGAACTCTGGCATCATTAGTAGCATTTAGGAACAATGAATGATGCCCATGTTACCGCTGCAAGGGGCATTACAAGCACACAAGCATGGAAATGGACAGGTATATAGATGGAAGCAGGAGTTAATTCTGTTTTTTTTTAAATTAGTAACCAGCTACTTCAAACAATATATACACAAATGTAAATATCTATTCTAATAAACAGAAGATACATTAAAACTCAATTGTGTTGCTTTTTGTAACTAAAATGCTCTGTTATTTCTCAATCAGGTTTTCACACATATGCAGATCTTACAAGAAAGTAGTCTAATTCCTTCACGCTGCTGTTAAGCAAGATGAATGTGTCTGCTGAAGGGCGTTTGCCCACCTAATGCTACCGACGGGACTTAAAATTAAAAAGAAAAAATCTGAATTTACAATCTGATACCAAAACACAATGTTTATCAACAGTTTACTCAAGTACACAGATAAACACTACTCTAAGCTGTTCAAACATCTCAGAAGATACATACCCTCATCCCTGGAATAGTCTTCACCAGAATGTGGTTCAAACAAATAATCTCCAGTTGCAAGCTCAAATGCCTAGGAAATAACAGACACATTTATAGGTATTTCAGAAATAATTATTTTAATCTTAGAATTTTGACAATGAAATGTCAAATGTTAAAACAGAGAGAATTACTTTCAAAGCAAGTGTTTCCAAAGGACGTATAACTAAACGTAAATCTCATAAAGGTTACTTACCTAGTAACAGCAGTTCCTTGAGTACAGTCTTGGGAGAAAGTGCATGTGCTCTTGGCAGGGCCGGCTCCAGGCACCAGCTCAGCAAGCAGGTGCTTGGGGCAGCCAACAGAAAGGGGCAGCACGTCCGACTCTTCGGCGCCAATTCGGCAGCGGGTCCCTCAGTCCCTCTCGGAGGGAAGGACCTGCTGCAAATTGCCGCAGAAGAATGAAGTGGCGCGGTAGAGCTGCCGCCGATGTGCCGCCGATCCTTGGGGCAGCAAAAACTCTGGAGCCGGCCCTGGCTCTTGGTGTCATGGTCAGAACTCTCTAGAGCAGGGGTTCTCAATCTTTTTCTTTCTGAGGCCCCCTATAAAAATTCCACAGCCCACCTCTGCCACAACAACAGTTTTTCTGTATATCCAGTAGATTAAAAGCCAAGGCCAGCGTTACAGGTTAGCAAGCAGGGCAATTGCCCAGGGCCCCAAACCACAGGGGGCTCTGCAAAGCTAAGTTGCTTGGGCTTCGGCTTTCAGCCCTCAGCCCCAGTGAGTCTAACGCCAGCCCTGCTTTCTCATTTATTTTGGCGGACCCTCTGAAATCTGTCCGTGGCCCCCAGGGGGCTCCAGACCTCAGTTCCCTCTAAGCTGCGCGGCTGTGCTGCCACCTAGTAAGCCCCGCGCAGGGGCTCAGGGCTGCAGCGGGGAGAGGTGCTCTTCCCCACTGGCTCCAGCGTGGACCTGCCTCAGCCAGGGGAGGAGCCTCTCCCTCAGCCCGGCCCAGCCCTGCTGGAGCTGCTGCGGCTGGGGAGAGGTACCTCTGCCCCAGCCCTGAGCTGCTGTAGCAAGAGAGGGCTGGGGGGAGCCATCTCTCCCCACCTCAGTCCTGGGACAGCCTGCATCCCAAACCCCTTATCCCAGGCCCCACCTCAGAGCCCACACACCCCTGCACCCCAACCCTCTGCTCCAGCCCTGAGCCCCCCGCATCCCAAACCCCTCATTCCCAGTCTCACCCCAGAGCCCACACCCCCAGCCAGAGCCCTCATCACCCCCACATCCCAACCCTCTGCCCCAGCCCTGAGCCCCTTCCCACACGCCGAACCCCTTGGCTCCACCCCCACCACATGAATTTCATTATGTGCACCAATATGAAGGTGATGTGTCACACATCACCTCCATATTGGTGCACATAACAAAATTAATTCCGCACATGGACACAAAAAATTATCGGGAACACTGCCCCAGACCCCTGGTTGAGAACTGCTGCTCTAGAGAGAATGCTCCCTTGCAACACTGACGATTCATATCCAAGGCTTCAAAAGGAGCAGCAAGTCTTAACCCCAGTCCATTTTTTTGTACTTAATCAGAATCTATGCCTTAGATTGAAGAACTGGAGAAAACAGATAGGGAGTGTGAATTTATGCTATCAATCTATCTGGTAATTCCTGGAGTTTGAATTTACTAGGTAAGAAATCTGTCATCTTTGAGTATCATCAACACAGAACCCTTCTGTTGGGAAGTTAATTAACAGCATCAACCCTTAAGGGGGGGTTAATTCTGAAGAAAACCAGTTAAATAAAGATTGCTGAGTGCTTGCCTTAAATTGGACACAAGATTCTGAAGCCAAACCAAGACAGTAATGCTGTCAAAGTGTGTATCAAACTGCAATTAGCAGATTTATGCTTCTCAGAGACAATCACTTCTGAGACACACGGTTTCATCTGGAGGACCATAGCTTTCCAAGATCCAGTGGCTGAAAGCTGAACTCAGTAAAGTTCAAACTGGAAATAAGATGCACATTTTGAACAAGATAGTAATTCACCACTTGAACAAATTATCCAGGGATGTGATAAATTCTTCATCATTTGGGATCTCTAAATCCAGTTGCATGTGTTTCTACAAATATGCTCTAGTTCAATTACAAGTTATTCATCTAGATACAGGAATCACTGAGTGAAATTCTATGTCTTATGCTACAAATGAAGGAGGTCAGACTAGAATCAGGGGTTCTCAAACTGGGGGTTGTGATCTCTCAGAGGGTTGCGAGGTTATTCCGTGGGCGTTGTGAGCTGTCAGCCTCCACCCAAAATCCCACTTTGCCTCCAGCATTCATCATAGTGTTAAATATAAAAAATGTGTTTTTAATTTATAAGGGCGGGGGGGGGGTGTCGCACTCAGATGCTTGCTGTGTGAGAGGAGTCACCAATACAAAAGTTTGAGAACTACTGGACTAGAAAGGCCTTAAAATCTATGGATAAAGGACCCCCTCTTGAAGTCAGTGGCAAAATTCCTCATAATATCTACAAGGACAAGATTTCATGCCATGAATCTATAATATAATGTATCCTAAAACTTTCAAGGCACAGAAACACCTGCAAGGGCATACATGTTTGTATACAAAGTTGGATCCATTTAGACAATCCCTGGGCAAAAACTGTGTCTCCCCCCTGAATTTATTCTGACAGTCTACAAGTTAGCTATGCGATTTACAGAAAAATGTAATTCTTTCTAAGTAGGGAAACATTGTCAGCCACATTTTACTGATAGGAAAATGGAGGCAATAAAAAAATTAAACTGAATTGTACAAGATCAGTAAACTGAATTGCACAGTAGGTCAGTGATTCACACATGTCCAGCAACATGCTGCATTCCAAGCCACAAAATTCAGAGGTTTCAGATCTGGATAAATAATCTGGCCCTGAGTTTGTGAAGGGAGATCCAGAAGAGCTGTAAAATGAACTGGAAGTTCCAAAGTTAAGGTAGGAACTCTGAGAACCAGAAATGGCAAGCTCAAGTTGGAGCTATATCACCTCAACTCTGCCATGCCTGATTGTCCTGAAGACTCTTGGTAACAGATATAAAGAGGCATACACGAATTCTTGACTCCAGCCTAAGAAGTCAACTGCTTGAATCCTCATCCTCAGGGAGGGAAACTGTGGGTATGTCATATTTTCCCTTATTGAAAGCAGGTCTATTTAAAGAGAACCCAAACTTCTGAATACTAAAATTACTTGAATGATCACTTGTGCTGAGCACTGTATCTCCAATTTAAGTTATCTTCCAAGACGTTGCTTTTTCTGGGTAGATGAAGGGCAAGAAGAGGGATACCGCAAGAGCCTGACAACTTTTTGATATAGTTCTGAGAGCGAGATCCACTCTGTCAGTTCACTTTACTCCATGGTCGCGATGGTGTCTGCAAAATACTGTTCTGTCTCTAATTCACAGATTCAAAGGCCGGAATGTGATCATTGAGTCTCACCTCCTGTATAATACACGCCATACATTCAGAACTTCCCCAAAATAATTCATGGAATGTAAGATTTGAATATAGATGAATTACCTGTAACTCTAACCTATTTATAGGTCCTTGACTTCCACAGGCCTTGAACTGCATGGTGATCTATAGAGCCCTTCAAATCCACGGACCATTTTTGCAGATCGTGGATCAGATGCGGATACAAATTCTGTATCTGTACTGGGCTCTAGTGATCCAAATGAGCCCATACCAGAATAATTTGTCCCTTCCAGACATTTTTGTTCATCATGCCAGGGAAATAGTGATTTTCAAAGGCATGGTCACTAATGGCTGAAAATGGTCTCAAATGGTTCCAGTGTCTATTAAACTGGACTGCTACCCAGCCCTACTGAAGGAACTCTAAGAAGTGAAACCACTGTGATTCACAGATTTGCGGATTTATACACAGACCCTGGAAAGTTCAAGATATAGAGCTCCCATCATATATGCAAATAAATCTCGGCAGCTCCAGAAGTTATGTGGTGGTAAAATCAAAGAGAATACCACTCTGGCACCATAGGGAAAATATAATGGGTTGAGACTCCTCCTTACTAGGATCCTTCAGAAAATCATTATCCAAATCAGATGAGAGTGAGAAGCCATCAATAGCCACCTGGACCCGAGGAGATGTCTTCACTGATGCAATAGCTGGGGCCAGATTTCTTAAGAGAATGGGTGTGAAAGGTAGCTGGTCTTTGTGGATTTCAAAAGAATAATATCTTTTAAAAACTGATTCTCAGATAGAGTCCATATAGGAAGGGATTATGTGGTTTGCTAAAATTAATCTCTTGGAGCAGAATTAACCCGGGTGGGATTAAAAAACTGACTTGCAGAAACTCTATTATCAGAAGTGTGGGGACAGAGACCTAAGATATTGAAGCGTCAGGCAGAGGGGTTCTGGACCTGGGAATACTCAGTATGAGCCTCAAGTCTCATCAGATCCATGGTACCTGTTCTACTTTAGTGCTGAGCAGAACCTTGATGACACCTCAGAACTGATTCAGCTTCTCCCTTTGTCTTCTTGTGTAGCTTTGACTCCATGCTTTGAACCGTGCAGGTTTCTATTTGTTTGTAGAGTATACTGACTGGATAACACAAAGTGAATGGCATTGACCAGGCCACACTGTGGTGCTGAGCCTAACACTAAAATACGTTTTTAAACATCCAACAAGAAACAACCAGAATAACAATTAAAAACAAGCTAACTATATTAGCAAGGAAAAAAGTGGTCACAAAAAGGAGGGTTCAAAGTTTTTGGTCTGTAGCAGTCAGAAGGCTCTGGAGTTGGGTCACACTTACTTCTCCTTATATAACTTCACATCCAAATGGTTGGTGTCCCAGAAACCATGTGCAGAGCCACAATAGCTCAGTGCCAAGACAGCATGCGCTCCCAAGTGTGGGGAACTGTGCTATCAATACTTAAAATAAGGCAATGTCTACTCTACAAGCTAGGGGGTAATTCCCCTACTTGCATACACATACTCACATTAACCTGAAACTGGTGGATCCATAGGGCTTGGCTACACTTGCTAGTTACAGCGCATTAAAGGAGCCCCGGGCGCACTAGC